ATGTTGTTGTGCCTCAGTGTGTCATAGCAGCCATCTTTAAGGAGACGTTATGTCACGAGGATGGCACTTTATTTAATTTTTGTGTATGTCAGCCCATAATACCTACCCCACATTGAGTCGCCTTGATATGACTAGTATAAGTTATTCCATCCAGGTCATAGTGTCTCAATACCATAGAAATCATGTACGATTCTTTATTTAAGGATCAGTAGTCAGGGAAGTTAACAAGTACTGATTTCCCAGAACACAGTGGAGAATTGTAGGTCTTTTCTGGCGTGTAAAACGTAGAAGCCATGGTTTCAGTAGATGGAACATAAATTTGTATACTCTGATAAATATGATTACATCTTTACTTTGTGCAGATTTTTTCTTTCATACCCAATGCTGCTGTTATATGTGCTCTTTATAGCCATTGATATAATTTCTCTGACTCTTTGTTAGGTCCTATTTTGAACATTTACCTTCAAGTTCTTTATGTATTGATTGAAAGTTACAGATATAAGCTTCATCATTAAAGTATGTCTGAGTGACTTATTTAGGTACAACCGAAAGTCTCTACATAATCTATCTTATTTTACAGGTGACCAGTACACTCGTGATGAATTTCGGCGACACAAAAATGCAACACCAGAACAAACACAAGCTTTCATGGTGGAGTGGACCAACTATGCAATCACTATAGCTAAGCAGCTGGGTGTAAGAGGAGCCCACATGTCTAAAACCTTTGGACAAAATTTTAAAGACTCTGATCTGGAAAATTTTAATGATGAGCAGATTTATCAGTTATATGAATTGTACAAAGCATCAATTGAAACAGATAACGGAAATCAAAAAGAAACTTGAGTTTTTGTAAAGAGCTAATTTATGTTGACAGTACCTTGGTTAAGTTTTATAAAAGAAAATGTGATTTAGAGTGATGCATGATGATATATATTCAAATGTATATGTACTATGTACATAATGTATATATAGCTTACAGAAATAAATTTTAAACCAAAAAGTAATAATGGTATTAATAGTACAAAGATCCTGAATTACTTTAACTACTATTTAGTTTTATTCTATGCAAAATATTGGTATTATAATGAATTAGAAAAATCTATACTTTTGTAATTAATGCTTATTTATATATGTCTTTTCTTTTCCTCTTTCCTTTTTCTTCTCTTCTCTAACCCCTTCTATCCCCTTCCCAAGATGACGGCTGGCTTTGAGGCAGGGTATTCCCGCTTCGTTATCGAGCCTGTACTCTTCGTGAGGACCCTGAAGGGTTAACCATTTTTTCTAACCTTATGCTTCAGACTTACCATGAACAATTATGATTTTATAACTTTATTAGGAGCATTGAGAATTTCTTTCATTTGATCACGACTCTGAAAACTGCTATTGTCAGCAAACCCACTCAGATCATTACTCACACTTCAGAAAACATTTTTTTTGTGTGTGTGATTCCCCCTATAGCCCTTTCCTGTGACAATACCCCAGTTCTCGTCCATGTCTCTAAAATCAAGTAGGCAAAGTTTCCTTCTGCAGCCGCTCCGATTGTTCATGACTTTTCATAGACAAGGTCTATGTCACAGTTGCCTCAGAGTACCAAGCTCGTGCATTACCTACTCTGACTGACCTCGCTGGCATACCTATTCCTACCCAGCCTCACTCCCCCCTTAATATTTTTTGCGGAACAGCTTCCATCTCCCCAGCTGACTGCCCTGTAAAAACCTTTTTGCCAGCCTCATTAACTGTAAAACTGTGCCATAATATTCCCCCCAATCCTACATCAATATTGCCAAGACTACCATTTGTAGATATGACCTCCACCATGAAGTTTATATTTGCATAGTGTCCTGCCCTGTCCAAACATATCGACCCTTTCCCCCGTCAGTCAGAAATGTTGCTGACTTGGCCACCCTGCCAAACACTCGCTACACAGTCCACTGCCCTCCTTGGTGTGTCAATTATGGGGGCTCCTCTAATGTATTTTGTATGAGCTGTCCTGCATACAATTTTAAATTTGAGGTAGCAGTTCTCAGATTCAAACTTGGATTCATTTATGCGATGCCAAGCGCATTGACGAGGTTTTCTCTTGCTCCTTGCTCAAGGGCTCTACCCCTTCCACTCCCCCCCCCCCCCCCCAAGATATTTTAACATCTCCTCAGTATTACTTCCTCCTCCTTACGCTCCCACTTCTAACTCCTCCCTTCCCCTGTCATTTTTCCCATTATAAATCCAGATCCTGCAAACTCCACTTCCCTAGTACCTACCCCACCTCCTCGCGCTAGCGATCCCATCATACTATCTACCATATCCTCTCCGACACCCAACTGTTCCCCTGTTCCTCAGATGTATATCCCCTCATAAAAAGACCTTCGTTTCTTATGCCTCCCTCACAAACTCCTTTACCTCCCTTTCGGAAACTCTTGAGGACATTCAACATTTTCTGTCCCGAAAAACATGCCCATTCCTATTCCACCCTCTCAATCTCCCATTCCTTCTACATTTCAAGTGACTGCCGACATTCCTCCTCCTTTTCATGTTCTCCCGCACCCTTTCCACAGTCTGAAAGTGAAAGGCCTAGTCCCCTCCCCCTTCCCAGACACGTCCCGATTTCTTCAACTGGGTCAGTTTCCGAACCAAGAATGGCACGGATTCTCATATCTTGGTCTGGCGGAGCTACAGACATCAGAATGCACTTTGAGGTTTATTTAAAAATAAGGGCAATTTTGATACTTTAAACGTGTTCTTTTGTATTCAAATTGGTTGACATATTTCCAGAAAAATGTCTTGAGGCAGAAATATCTTAGGAAATGGAATGGTTAACAATAAATGTTTAAAAGCAAAATAAATGTGCTTGACATCTAAGGTCATATATCTAAGGTCATATGAAGGTATAGTAAAGTGTGGTGAATGATGGCTGAGTTAGATGTAGTTGCTATGCGTGAACTATCTAGAGTAATATTGAAAAGGTTGAAGTGGGTAAAGGAGTTGACGAGTGAATGGGTTACGGTGGGGTTAGGTAAGGGGATTAGATTAAGTGAAGGATATGTATGCGTTTGAGTTAGAACAGGTTGTCAAAGCAAAAGTTGTGGGATTCTGCAAGGATGTCTGATATGTTGGGAGGTCTGTTCTGGTGAAATGGAGCTGACCAAGAAGAGATTGGTAGTTTTACAGTATGTAATTTATTAGTGTGGAGACTTGACCAGAAATATTGCCATCGGGTATGTAAAGGTCTTAAAGTGTGGGTAATAACCCGTGGCTGGAATACTTGTGAAGCGTGGTTAATGTGATGTGGATATAGCAGCTTGAAGTGCTAGAGCCTGCCTGTTCATACCCTGGGATTCCAACAAGGTTGGGTACCCAGCAAAATTTGATAGATTTATGGCGTGTGGACTGGGAGAACAACCATAGACTCTTTGAGAGTTTACACGTTCCGGGAATTGGTAAAAATATTGAATGAGGAAGAAGGGAGTGAGTATATGTGTTTAAAGGCAAAAAGGAGTATGTACAGTTCTGTAAATTCAGGAGGCAGGGGGCATTTGAAAGTGCGAGTTGAGAAGGGGGGGGGGGGGATCTGATTTTGGTGGGTCAGGGAAAACTGAGGAGCAAATAAGGGGGTAAGGTATAAGCCATGGAGGATCGGAATGGACAGAAAGCGGGAGAGGTCCGAGATGGGGAAAGGGGGAATGGGAGAGGAGGGTCTCCATGGAGTAGGTTAACGTGGAGAAACAAAGGTAGGAAGCAGGGATCGTGCGGCATTTAGTTTGGTGAGCGAAGGTTGGTGGAATCGAGCATGGCATCAGAGAGAGAGAAGGGTACGGCGTCGAGAGAGAGATGGCAGGCAGTGGTGGATTGTATCAAGATGAGCAAGAAGGAAAGTTGAGGCAGAGGAGTAGATATGGCATCCATAATCAAGAGTGGAGAGGATCAAGATGGGGGAGAGTTTTGCGATCTGAGCCCCAGGATATGTGGGAAAGAGTTTGTAAGATTCGGAGGCGGCGGTGAGCTTTTTCTTTAATGTACAAGATATGGTCTCGCCAAGACTAGGAAAAGGAATAAAACATCAGTTATTGGATCATATATAGTATATATTTTGACACATTTCTATTTTATACTACTGTATAAACATTGTACATTTAATACAGATATTATCACATGATGTGATATAAATCTCTCTTTTATTTAACTTTCAAGGACTTGTTGCAAGCACATTAACATTTACAATCATACAAAATTTACAAAAATACACAAAAAATATTCTTTTCATCACTTCCACACTTGAATGCATGGAAATCTGTATAATGAGTATATCAAGCCTTACATGTGAGCATCTGGGGTGAAAAACTTCAGTCGGCAGATGGCCGAACGGCCCTTACTGCCACTCCCGATGTGGCGCATTACTCCTGGTCATCACTCAGCAGTTTCAGTAACAAGGAAATCTTTATAGGAAGCCCCTTCATTAGCCAATTAAGCATCGTATGTGTGCGAGTGTTTTCATTGCATAAATATAGGTATGTGCATGTGTGTGTAGAAAGGTTTATATATATATATATATATATATATATATATATATATATATATATATATATATATATATATATATATATATATATATATATATATATATATATATATGTATATATATATATATATATATATATATATATATATATATATATATATATATATATATATATATATATATATATATATATATATATATATATATATGTATATATATATATATACACATACATATATACACATATATATACATATACATATATATATATACACACACACACATATATATATATATATATATATATATATATATATATATATATATATATATATATGTATATATATATATGTCTTACACATATGCATACATATACATATCTTACACATATATATACATATACATATCTTACACATATATAAATACGCATACGCATACGCACACGCACACACACACGCACACGTATAAATATATATGTATAAATATATATATATATATATATATATATATATATATATATATATATATATATATATATATATACAAAAACAGTGTGTTACTGGAAATTAAAAGGAGAAAATTGGAGAAAATAGAAGTAATCAAGAAAAAATGCAACTTACTGAATAAGCGAGTGGAAGTGCTATTACTTGCATTTTCACAAATGTGTGAAGAGAAGGATGCAGTGCTAGTTTATACATAAATAATTTACATAGTATACAAAAGTGCTTGTGTTAGCACGTTTGTGCGAGTCTATTTCTTTTCCTGATTCACTACTTGACTCAAACACTAACCTAATATACATACTCAGATAATACACCATGATCACAACTTATTGCCTCTACATCAGAACAATTTAAACCAAAGGAGATAGTTAATAAAAATAAATCACTCATGCTATTAGTTTATCACATATTCAGGACAGTCATACTGAGGTCATCATGTACTGATGTCAATTAAATCATCAGTGGATAAGCAGTCAAAGAGTTTAGGACTGTTATGTATATGAAAAGACTGATATTTCACAGCTTTCTTAAAGGGATTCAAAGGTGATATGACTTACAATTTACCAATATTACTCTTATTTCCACTCCAGTCTTGCAACTGCCATAATTTCCTTTCTTTCTCTTCAACAAAAGTATTTACAAACTGATATGTACTTGTTAAAGTAACTGTCCTACTGTTTGAATAACAAATGCCACTTCTATTCTGTAATATGAGACTGGATGTTTGATGTCCATGGCCGGCAATGTGCAAGTCGCATCCAAAACATTTCTTTTCAGAGTTCCAGCAATCTAAAAGAAACAAAGCAGCTAAATAATACTATTACCATTAATCACAACACTAACTGAATCTTGATTAGGATGTTTTGTGGAGTATACAAGCTATGTAAATATTGCTGACCAAAACTGAAATACACCTTGCTGACAAAGCGCACACATTACTAGCACTGGTGAAAGAAGCATTCAAAGCATTTTGTTAATAATCATCATGATACCACAGTGAGCTAGAAAGTTCCACTACTAGTATTATAGAATTGACTATCACACTCTCGTAAAACAGTTGCAAGCACTGCATCAATGTCTTGTTTTTGTTGGTGCTAAGTTACAGAATACCAGGATATGACAGGAGCTGCAAAATATGGACATTGGGAACAAACTAAATATCTAAAGATATATCCATCCTAATTAAATCACAGTTGCATGATCATACACTAGAAAAATAATGGTACCAGATACCAAGGTACTAAAATGAATATAACTATACCTAAAAACTGAAGATGACTAGGAAAAAATGAAAATGTAAATCACTCATACTTATGCAGCAAATACAAAAATAGTTATCTGCAAGAAAGTTGTGCCTTAAAGAAATTAATATAAAATTCAATAAATAAGTAACTAGAACTTGCATTGGTTACTTGTCCACAGAAGAACCTGCTCTGAACAATGAAAGTTTGATATTTCCTGCAACATGAAAAGTATAACATGAAATTAACATTCAGTTAATGCTGAATATATCAGCACTTGAATCCTCTTTCCTCATTTCCACTCTAAAAAATACAAAATAAAAAAAAATCCTCACTCCAAACAAGACCAGAGATATGTACAATAAATAAAATGGTTTCTATTTACAAAAAATGCAAGGTTTCCAATTAATTTCACTGTCCTTCAAAAGCTGAACTAAGATAGCTAAACTATACTTGTCTTTACCTCTTGAAAGTAAATGCATAATATCAATGGTTCCTGCTATGGGATATTTTCTGTTGAAAGTAAAGGCATCATAAAATCAGGGTTTTGCTATACTCAATAAAAAAAAGCTATCTTCATGTATACCCAATAACAAGACAAATCACTTTATAAAGCTCTATAACACATTTTATCTCTATTTCACAATTCAAATGTATAACAAAGATATGCTGATGATAAAATCTTTCAAAATGGTATGTGTTCAATGAATGTATAATGTACTACATTTTTAAAATATACTCTTAACAGGCTTGTCTTCATTGCAAGTTTCTCTTTATATAAACTATACAATTAAATGGATGAAGGAGTGAATGAAAATGTCTTTATCCTGAAATAACATAATTCAAAATCAAATCATGCTCACAACAAATCTTTTCTTAAGTAATCAAATGAGAGAAACATATAATTCATAAGTATTGATTGAAAGTGATGTTTTTCAGATCTACTACACAAAGAAATTGTACTTAATCATCATTGGGAGGCCAATTTACAAACTTTCAATGTCATATCATAACAACAGACTGATGCCCAATACATTCAGCAGTTTACATAACACGGTTCTATCACCTAAAAGTGATGAAGTGTATGATGGTCCACTCTTGTGAATTTCTCAAACAGCATAATTCTATGGTTAAGAGTTAACAACCTTACTATAACCCCCATTTACGCCCTTGTTCAGTTGCCAGGTACCCATACAGACACTGGATTGAAGGGGTGAAGGGAAGCACTGGGGTTATGGATGTAAGCACTATCCAGAGTAATCAGCGAACCTGCTACTTCCTGTGAAACATGTATGTCATCTGGATGTACAATTACACCTAAAATTATGCTTAAAAAGAAATAAAATAGATATTTGTCTAGTTAGCAGTATGTACACAGAAAACCTGATGAATCAAGTGCCAAGATTATATATTTCCACTTGTGCAAATAATGAAAAAAAGGTATATCAACAACACCTATTATCTTTAAAATAGCTAACCAGCATTATGTCTTAAAATGTTGAAACGGAGAGTTAGAAATATTACCTTTTTATACACAAACTGTATATAGAAACCAAAGCCACAATCATAAAACAAAACTAAATCATAAAAAAATCTAATATGAAGCAACTTAAAAGCTCAACATCAACAGGATATCCAAGAGTTCCTGTTATAATAAGATTTTTATAATCTAACTTGCACTCTATCAGACTTATAATTCAGAATAAAAATACATATCTATTGAGCCTCAGTAAACATACAACTATAAACAGAATAGCTCAGCTCACATTATTACCAACTACAGTTCAAGTCAAACTTCTGTTTTCAAATATGCCATCAGAGTCAATCAGAGGCTGTGCATTTACTGCTTGTTGAGAAGTTGTGTCCCTGTTGAAGTCTCTGGAGAACATTTGTGCTGAAAGGTCTTATGAACATTGCTGAATGCACCTGTGAAGACCAGTCATGAGTCTGAATTGGTGTGGAATACTGCCTCTGACAAGTTTTATTGTAGACTGGAAGAAGCTCATTAGCTTCACTGGAGATGGCCTGGTGAAGAAGGAAAAAGAAAATTAAATCTCAAAAGTAATAAGCACATATCAGATGGTGGAACAGGACACATTGTAGATAAGTAGTAGGAAAAACTAAAATTCTTCAAAGGGGAACAATCTTCCTAGTTGTAATAAAATGATTAATGCAAAAGTATAACAAGATTAAGTTTTCCACTCAACACTGACAGAATTGGGAAGTGGGTGAATTCTGAAAAGGATAAGAAAGTCATTGTTCAGACTAACTTAAATTCATGTAAATATTTTCATGACATGATGGTGATGTCATCCAGATCATTTGCTCAAGGACTTAGATAACCCAGCAGAATTATGATCTTTAATTTAATTTTCAATGTTTTACTCAAATCATTTCCACTCAATGACTTTTCTTGAATCATTTGATTTAAGTCTTGATTTAAATCAGTAATTTGAATTTGCTTGATTTACAGCTTGAGTAAAACCAGGAAATAATCACAATAATGTAAGAGATGGCAATAGAGGGAATAATCCCATGATTTCCAGGGCAGACAAAAACTCATAGTACAGCAAACACAAGACGCAGTGTGGGCAGCAGAAAGTCAATGCTATGAAGCAGACAAGAGAAATATGACTGTCTTCATCTTCCACAAAAGGCTTGACAAGACGTGGAGTGGTGTGTGTTTGTGGGGTTGCCTTGGTGAATCTCTTTATTCTGTCTTGCCTGGTGCTAGGGCATGCCAAGCAGCTGTTAACTCGGTTGATATCTTAACTAGGATCATACCTAATCACTATGACCTTCATACCAAGTCTTGAGTGACCAGAAAATAACACATATTACATACCTTAAGGTAGATGACAGCATCTGTACCAAAGCCTTCAAAAGAGGTAAGCATGAGGTCCCCATGGAAATATCGGGCATATAATCTTGAAAGAGGAAGACCATAACCATAGCCAGCAAGGGGAGGAGTGTCTAGCCCAGACACTGCTGGCTGAGGGGCTGTAGAATACATGTAATTGAAGAGGAGATCCATAACACTGCGAGGAATGCCACCACCCTGGTCTGACAACTGCAAGTAATAATGGATTTTGCGATTAGAATGATAATAATGATAATAATGATAATAATAATTATAATAATACAGCTTATAATAATAATGATAATAATTATTATTATAATAATATATCTTATAATAAAATACATAAAAAAAATAATAATAAATCATTATCATTATTGTTATTACTATAATAATATAATAATATTAATAATAATAATAAAGAAACAATAATACCAATAATAATAATAACAATACTAATAATACTAATAACAACAACAATAATAACAATAACAATAACAATAACAATAATAATAATAATAATAATAATAATAATGATAAATAAATAACAATTAAACAAATAATGATCAACTAATAAAATAAATAAATTAATAATAATAAAAATAATAATAACTATTACCATTATAATTATTATTATTATTATTATTATTATTATAATATCAATAACATTGACAAACAGTAAAAATATCAATAACAATATTATCAATTACATTATTATTGATAATATTAATAACAGCAATAACTATACTAATAATTATATCATCAATTATATCAATAATGATATCAATAATAATATTAACAATAATATCAATATTAATACAAATATTAAAATTAATAAAAACATTAACAATGACATTAATATCAATGTTAATGTTAATATCAATAATAATTAGTATCAGTATCAGTATCAATATCATCATTATCATAATCATCATCTTAGTAGAGTTCGTTAGAGGGGCCATCGCTCTGAATTTTTGACGTATATTTTTAAAAATAAAAAAAAATGAAAAAAATCTCCTGTAATCTAGTAGGCTTTGGCAATCCCGTGACGTAATACTTCTGCTAAATATATAAAAATGAAGGAGTTATGACTAAATCTCTACCCCCCCCCCCCTTTGCCTCCGGCTCTGATGTTTACTTTGTCGCGTCCGTGCAAATATACTAGACAAATTTGTTTTTGGGTTTTTTTTTTTTTTTTTTTTTTTTTTACTTTGGTATTCTCTGGTAGCTAGCTGGCAGTTCTGCTCACTCACTCCATCAGCTGATAGCCATGACTAAAAGACAAGGCGAGCAGTCACCACGAGAGAGTCGGAGGGAGAGACTGTGCATCTCCTGCCTCTGCGACACTATCCCATAGACGTACCCCTGATACACCCTCATCACACACTAAGAGGACACTTGGTGGTGTAAATCATAGTGTATGTATATATAACATTAAAAAATCGCAAAAATCCAATCATAATTAACAAACTTCGTTCTCGAGTGCGACGGCCCCCTTAATGCAGTATCTCCATGTACTTAAGTTTCCATGTGAAATAATAATAATAATATAAAGAATGATGATGACAAACCCACAAAGATTAACAATAATGATAGCAATAACAATAGGACTAAATACAATTCGGTGGAATTCTGTACAAAGAACACAAGTATTACCTTAATGACAAGGTCTTCTGTACCCATAACCAACAGCACTTCCAAGGCTGGGAACTCATCAGCACCAGTACCATGATGCTCAATCACTGCACGCATGGCATTCTTGAAGAGCTCAAACAACATATGGTAGAGATGGGAGGGAACGTATACAACTCTTGCAGGAGTTTTATCAGCTAGAAGGAACAGAGAGAGAAAAATAATTAATGTTAACTGAAGGATAATGCACAGTGTTATAATGTGAAACTATCTATCTATAATTTATCACTTAATCTACTTTGAATAATATACCTATATGTATGTGCTTTTAACCTCTCTTGAATAGGTCCTAAAAAATTGCATGCATGTGAGTGAGGGGTGGTTTTATATCATGGACTGGATATCTGCAGGGATATGCCAGGTGGGATATAAACTGCCAAGAGGATTGTCAAGAGGGTTTACCACATACTCTAGCTCTATCTGGCATCATATCACCCACTCAAATAGTGAGCATGAGTTCCGTGTGTTAGCTAGCTGTATTCAATCAGTTCCTAATTACCCAGTTAATTTAACTCCTCACACATACAAACATACAGAAACTTAAGTATAACCAAACACAGATATCAATAATACACACAATCCAACCCCATATAAATAAGTACATTATTTTTTGGTCTGAAATATCAACTATTCTCCTAAGATAATACACTTTCTTATACTCTCAATCCATCAAGACTATGTTTGTCTGTGGTTGGTGCACTGTTACCTCTAACCCATCTCCAAGTCTCCACTTTATTATCTTTACATGCATAAACACAAATTTACACAAATGACTACTACCCCTTTATAGATTATACTGAAAGATTAGCCCATTAATCTTGACACCTCTTGATTATATCTGAGAATGTGGCAGAGAAGTGCTTGGAATACTGCCAGATGGTACTGTTAATGAACAGTACAAAGCAATGGATTATATATTTTTTGATTTGTTGACATGGAATTTAAAATATTCTGCTTCATAACTCAAAACCAAGTAAAGTGAATCAAGACATATTTCCACTCTGCAAGCTGGTTATCAACAGCTTATTTTGAACTAGGTATCATACATGGGCCCCCCAAAGAAGTCAGCCTTGAATGGTAAAATGGTAATATTTAAAGTCATTAAAAAATATATATATATTGTCTAGTTCCTTTTCCTTGGTATTGTGAAAGCATTGGTAATACACAGGTCCACTGATGATAACAAAGTGAGCACTGTGTAAACTTAAAAAGCACTATATGATACCATGCAACTCTTTGTCCTATCTATGGCAAAGATGGTAAACACAAATGAGATAACACCATTAACAACTACATTTTTACATTACAACATTCTTTTAGCAATTACAAAAATCTAAAACATAAAAAATTCTATACAATTCACTAAATATGACCTCATGCTGATCTGATGTACATGCAACAACCTGTATATCAAAACACTTGAGTGATATATTAGAATTATCCTATAACACTCTATCCTGCCATTCCTACCACAATACATTTTATTCATATTTAAGACAGAACACAGTATTAAATGGAAACACCATGGAGACCCACTTCTCCATATACCATCTAACATATCAAATGTTGTGAAAAGGTAACTTAGATCAAATTCACTGCTTCAAGTTTGTTTAATTTTTATAACTAATCTTGTAACATAAAAGTTATTCCATGATCACAAAACAAAATATCACAAAATTATGATCTATAAATTATCTATGAAGACATAAAACAGGAGAGGTCTGTCAATTTGACCACATTATCACATCAAGTTCATGAATTTTCAGGTAAAGTATTCTATCTACACCTCTAAATCAAATATTACTAATCTAAAACACGTCTCTTCCAGTATATTCCAGGAAAAAAATCTGCCATGGTGCAACCACTTATTACATTCAATATTCTGAGCATATAGTGAGCAATTTGTTTTTCTACAAGAGCGCAGAAAAAAATCATCAGATCACCAAGTACAAAATTAATCTGAACATTAATTTGAAAATTAATCACCTTATCACCAAACAGTATGCACAAGAATATACAAATTTTCCCACAATCCATGTTGCCTGATCTTCACTGCAAGTCTTCTCATAGTTACAATTTTTATTTTATTTTATACAAAGCATCACAGTATTATCATAATAATCCCTAACATATATAATTTGTTCTCATGTGAAGTGTTTGCTTTCTCATGAAAGCTTTCATTGCTTTTCCTCTGTAGACCAAGTAACTATACATAACCACATTGGTATTCTACTTTAACCCTTCAGTGACGGGTACAGCTATAGCCATCATGACGTAATGGCCTATGACATACATATGCATCATGACTCGCAATGGGTGGGCCAGCTGTACAAAGATTAGGCCTAGCCACAAAGCCTAGACTGTTGCGTAATATTACATCTCAAAAAATTCAGGCCCCATCATGATAGGGTTAAAACAAAGTTGTGCCTTTAATCAGTGTGTAATTTAGCCCCTTGAGCAATACCTATATGTTTCAAGCTGGACAAGGTGCTGCTAACAACATGATAAGAATTATCTAAAGGGAAGAAGTTTGTATACAAAGGACATACCACACCAAAAGGGATGACATATAAAATACATATGATAAAATATATTGCTTGCAAATGCAGTATTCAGAACCAAGATCAAGATAAAAATGAGACATCTTTCAGATTAACTCAAATAAATCTTATTCACTTATCATGCAAAATATCTTATGCATACTCAACCTCTGCGTAAATATAATAAGGAGGAAGAGGAAGAGGAAGAGGAAGAGGAGAGGAAAGAGAGGAAGGGAAAGGAGAAGGGAAAGGAAAGGAAAGGGGATGGGAAAGGAAAGAGGAAAGGGGAAACAGGAAGGGAAAAGGAAAAAGGCAGAGGGATGAGAAAGAAAGGGAGGGAAGGGAGGGAAGAGAAAAGAAGGAAAAAGGGGGAAAAGAGAGGGGGAAAAGAGAGCGGGGAAAAAAGAAGAGCAAGAGAAAGCGAGAGGGAGGAAGAGAAGAGAAGAAAAGCAAAGGGAAGTATAGAAGGGACAGGAAGAGATGGGAAGAGATCATAAGGTATGGGAATGGGGAAAAGGCATATCTGTGAAGGAGATAACATCAATGGAACAGAAGGAAAAGGAGATAGAAGAGGCCAAGTAGAAAATAGGAAGAGGCATTGGAGAAAAAAGGAAGAAAAGGAGGATATGAAAGAACAGATTCAGACGAAAAAGGATAAAAAGAAGGAAGAAGCAGAAGAGAAGGGCACAAGCAAGATCTTGTGATCATAGAACAAAATAAATGTCATATCCCTGATATCTACAACACAGTGAATAGCTTATATAAGCTTACCCCCTTCAATCTAAAACATTGGATCCGGTTGCATCACAGAAATCACATAGCTGAAAATACAGGCATTGGTTACATAAGAGGCCAACATCCGTGCCGTACACATTTCTTTGAGCTTTTTTTGCCATTTTCCAATGTCTATATCTGTCTCATGTCTCGTCAAGGAAAAACCTGGGTTGAGGGCCAGGTGATGTGAACATGCCATCATCAGACAAAAAAGCCGCAGGCCAGGTGACACGAACATGCCATTATGAAAGGAGGCCAGAGTCATGGAAAAGACTTGCCACAAGTGCAAAAATCTCTTGGAGTGTGATTAGACTCATTTGGCACTTAGAAGGGGATTTTACATTATTCCCATCAATACACAAATGTGGAATGTAATGTGCATAAGCTATAACTGGAAGATCACCAGCTTTAGGGAGGATGACATTTCCATGCTCAGCATTGTATTCCTAGCCACTGTGACCTGTGGCACCATTTGCATTACGGAAAATTGAAAATTACAAAAAAATAAGATGTATGACAAATATTCACAAATACCTTTTTTTTCCCTTGTACTGACTTATTTACTACATTGAGATGATATAGGGTCTGTGCAAGGAAAATAATATATTACCATCTGGACAAAGCAAATCAAAAGACAAATATGTAAAATAATTTTGCAAGGGGGAGGCACAGAGCCTTGTCACCGCTCACAAGTGTTTGCGCGTCCAAACACCGCATCAGGGTACTGGCCACTTATGTAACCTACTGCCTGTATTTTAAGCTCTATGACTTCCATGACGCAACCGGATCCAATGGGTTAAGCAAGCTACTGGCTTCGAGGGGTTGGCCGATAAAGATCTTATAAATCTTTATTTTTCTTCTGCTTCTTTTTTTATGCTCA